GTTATGGGGGCCTGGACCTCGGCTCATGGGGTTTCTAGAGGTTGGGAGTAGACATGGGCTCAGGCTTGAGCAACGGGTCGGGTCGGGTCGGGTAAGCCGACTTGACCCGACCCGACCCGACCTGACCCCGACATCGGGTAGGGCAAAGTCGGGTCGGGTCGGGTCGGGTCGGGTTCATGCTCAAGCCTACATGGGCTTAACACCGAGCCGGCTCGGCTTGGAGTCGGCATGGCTCGGCTTCAAGCCGAGCCGAGCCGACCTTTTTTTTTTTTACGAGACGAAGCCGGCTCGGCTCGGCTCGCTGAAGCCGAGCCGCCGGCTCGGCTCGCGGCTTCACTGAAGTCGAAGCCGAAGCCGAGCCGAGCTGAAGCCCGGCTCGACCCGGCTCGGCTTCCGGGCGACATTAACGCTGCGATATAACTTAGTAGAAACGCGGGTTCTAGGCTAGGAGGTTGTGGCGTGCTTAGCTAGGTGGCGGGAATTGCATGAGATACGGTGCTTAGCTGTTAGGCCTTGTCGCAAAACAGGAAGGCAGGTGAGGGGGGGAGAGTGTCGCATAAACTCCAACCTTCCCCTCATAAAATCCAAAACGCGTTTTATGAGGGGAAGGTTGGAGATTGTAGACGGGGAGGAGTTCAGTGCGGTGAAAGGGAGGGAGTTTGGTTGGAACTGTTGGAGTTTGTAGACAGGGAGGAGTTCAGTGCGGCGAAAGGAAGGGAGTTTGTTTGGAAATGTCAAAGTTTGTAGACGAAGAGGAGTACAGTGCGGAGAAAGGGAGGGAGTTGGGTGGTCAAATTTCGACCTCGCGGGAAACGTGACTCTCATTTGAGGGTCGCGTTTTCAGAAACCCTAGCCTAGCCGCCCGCACCCTAGCTTCAAGGCTTCAAAAACGAGCCGAGCCGAGCCGGCTTGACTTCGGCTCGAAGCCGGCTTCACCGAGCCGAGCCGGCCAGTGGCTGAAGCGAGCCGAAGCCGGCTCGGCTCGGTTCGGCTCAACTGAAGCCTGGCTCAAAGCCGGCTCGGAGCCGGCTCGGCTCGGCTCGGACTTACGCCCATGTCTAGTTGGGAACCATCCAGATCTCGAATCTTCTTCCTGAGTTGTACTTCTAAGACTATAGTGGCTAGACATGGGCTTAACACCGAGCCGGCTCGGCTCGGATCCGGCTCGGCTCGGCCCGAGCCGTTTTTTTTCTTTTGCGAGCTTAGCCGGCTCGGCTCGGCTCGCGGCTTCACTGAAGCCGAAGCTGAGCCGAAGCCTGGCTCGACCTGGCTCGGCTTCAGCGCAGCGCGAAGCCCAGCCATGTAATTAAAAAAAAAAAGGGGGGGGGGGGGGGGGGGGGGGGGGCAGGGTTGAGCAAAATACCCGCGCAGGTCGGGTACCGGGGATCCGGATCCGCTTTTAGGGCGGGTCGGGTATCCAAATTCCTGCATATTTCCCGGCGGGTCGGGTCCGGGTAGCCCGGGCGGATATTCGATACCCGTTACCCGAAACGTTACCCGACACGTCGGGTAGCGGGCACCCGACCCGAAATCGGGTAGCGCGTCTACCCGACGGAACTAGCGCGACATTGGTTGTGCTGGTAGAGAGATTTCAGCAAGTCTTTAGGTTACGCGAGCTGCTAGGTCACGTAAAGCATTGTAGAGTGGCAGGGGTTGGATTTCGTAGATCCAGATGGTATTCAAAGCAGTTGAATTGGGGGAAAGTGGTTGGAATTCAAACCAATCGAATTTCCCAAATCGAATTTGCAACCCAACCTGAATCCAACCAACCGCACAGCACCACATTGGTTGGACTTCCAACCAATTGACTGAGGGTCAAAGAATCGAACCCCCTAAAACCGCACACAACCCCATCCCAACTAGAAAACCCAACCAACTCCCCACTCAGGCCCCACTCACGCCCCAGTCACCACATCAGAATACTCAATATTGAATACTCAATACTCCCTCAATACTCCCTCCCCCAACTCACGTTTTTTTAACACTATCTTGGTCGTAGGTTTAGTAGCCCAACAGGGTAGGAAAACGCGGGTAATACTACCCGCTTTTCAAGGAAACCGGGTCGGGTATACACGGACCCGTCAGGCGGGTATTAAACTACCCGCCCCGAAATCCCGGGTCCGGGTATTGGTCCTGGGCATGTTACCCGACCCATACCCGACCCGAAAATACCCGACCCGAAGTCGGGTAGGGTTGAGCAAAACCAGGTAATTACTCGACCCGACCCGGTTTTGCAATACCCGACCTCGGGTCGGGTATTTTCGGGTCGGGTCCGGGTCGGGTAATATGCCCAGGACCCTTACCCGGTCCCGGCCTTAGGGGACGGGTAATACAATACCCGCGTGGCGGGTCCGGGTATGCCCGACCCGGTTACCCTGAAAAACGGGTATTAGTACCCGCCTCCTACTAGTGGGCAACCTAAAAACGGGCTAGGCTAGGTAGGGTTTCTCAAATGAGAGTCACGTTTTCTGAGGGTCGAAGTTTGACCACCCAACTCCCTCCCTTTCACCGCACTGAACTCCTCCCTGTCTACAAACTCCAATTTCCAACCAAACTCCCTCCCTTTCACCGCACTGAACTCCTCCCTGTCTACAAACTCCAACATTTTCAACCAAACTCCCTCCCTTTCAGCGCACTGAACTCCTCCTCGTCTACAAACTGCAATTTCCAACCAAACTCCCTCCCTTTCACCGCACTGAACTCCTCCCCATCTACAAACTCCAACATTTCCATCCAAACTCCCTCCCTTTCACCGCACTGAACTCCTCCCCGTCTACACACTCTAATTTCCAACCAAGCTCCCTCCCTTTCACCGCACTGAACTCGTACCCATCTACAAACTCCAACCTCTTCTCAAACTCCAACCTAACTCCCTCCTTTTCACCTCACTTAACTCCTCCCCATCTACAAACTCCAACTTCTCCTCACAAATGCTCCACTCGTCCCTCCTCACCTCCCAAACCGTTTTGCCGCAAAACCTAAATCACAGCGGGACTTACGCCCATGTCAAAATGGAGTACCCGACCTCGGGTATTATTTACCCGACCGGGTCGGGTACCCGTTACCCGACACGTCGGGTAACGTTTCCGGTAACGGGTATCGAATATCCGCCCGGGTAACCCGGACCCGACCCGCCCAAAAAGCGGATCCGGGTCCCGGGTACCCGACCCGGTCGGGTATTTTGCTCAAGCCTTAAGTCGGGTATAGCAAAACCGGGTCGGGTCGGGTAAAAACCCGGTTTTGCTCATGCCTAGGGGGGGGTTTAGGCTAGGAGGTGGTGGTGTGCTTAGCTAGGTGGCGGAAATTGCGTGAGTTACGGTGCGCTGTTTTAGGTCTTGTCGCAAATGGGGAAGGGAGTCGAGTGGGAGAGAGTGGAGTAGTTGTGAGGAAAGGTTGGAATTTGTAGACGAGGGGGAGTTCAGTGCGCTGATAGGGAGGGAGTTGGCTATGTAATTTTGAAGCTTGTAGACGGGGGGGAGTTCAGTGCGGTGGAAGGGAGGGATTTGGCTGGAAATTTTGAAGTTTGTAGACAGGGGGGGAGTGCGGTGAAAGGGAGGGAGTTGGCTGGTCGAAATTCGACCCCCTACGAAACGCGACTCTCATTTGAGTGTCGCGTTTTCATAAACCCTACCTAGCCGCCCCGCCTGGCTTCAGCGCTTCAAAAACGAGCCGAGCCGAGCGGGCTCGTTTTATGGCTCGGCTTCGGCTCGAAGCCGACTTCACCGAGCCAAGCCGGCCTTTGGCTGAAGCGAGCCGAAGCCAGCTCGGCTTGGCTCGGCTCGACTGAAGCCCGGCTCGGAGCCGGCTCGGCTCGGCTCGGTGTTAAGCACATGTCTAATAGTGGCTGCTGTACCTCATGTCAGTCAAACCATCATAGCGTCTTGATTTTGTGATGAACGACTTTGTGTGAAAAGAGGGAATGTAAGAGTAGTTATGAATGTAGAAGTAACATGCTAGACCGCAGATTGAAGTGAATATCAAGTAGGAAGGAACACACGACGAGGATATGCAAGAGCTGACTCTTGAGTCGACTCAAAAGTCGGAGATTGAAGTGCGCATCAAGTAGGAAGGAACAATCGTAGTTATGCAGGAGTTGACTATTGAGTCGACTCAAAAGTCCGAGATTGAAGTGAGTGTGCGTATCAAGTAGGAAGGAACACACGAGGATATGCAGGAGCTGACTTTTGAGTCGACTCAAAAGTCAGAGATTGAAGTGTATCAAGCAGGCCCAACTTTTGAGTCGACTCAAAAGTCGAAGAGTGAAGTGTATCAAGGAGGTAGGAACGAACACGCGGGGATATGCACAGGATTGGGCATGGGCAGGGCAGTGAGCCCGGGACACGTAGCCTAAAACAGAATACCTGAGAGGAAGTTTGAGCGGCACGCATGCAGCACTTGTGAGGACACAATAATGAGTGAGACTGGATGGAGTGGATGAAAGAATGTGCTTGCAAGTAGATGCCCGGAGAGAGTGTGAGGCGATAAACGGTTCCTCTTCCAGACTTGCTAGGGAACACCAAGGTTAGCTGCAAGTCTATGTGCATAAAGCAGGTTAGTTAGCCTGTATGTAAAAGATCTTGCTTGCTTGTCTCTTTAACACTCGCTGTGAGAGTCTTGTGAACAATCGACACTTTCGAGGAGGCTATCGATGATTCCGTGAGGCATCACAAAACAACCGAGGAAAAAACGTGTTGAAATAGCAAACTATATGCCCATGAGGACAAGGAAGAGGATTGGGCAGGAGGCAAGGAGAGTGAAGGGAGGAAAGCAAGAAGGTGACGAGTGTCAAGAAGAGGAAAGGCAGGGCACGGAAGGCAGGTGTGCCTATCAAAGTGCATTTTGAGTTGACTCAAAAGTCACCAGGGCAGGGCAGGTGTGCCTGTCAAACTGCCCGTACCTAAGATGGTGTATTGACTAGACCTTGGAGCTGTGCACAGCCATAGAAAACGAGAGAGGGGGGAGGGGGAGGGGGAGGGGGAGAAACCGAAGTTGCTACACCACGCAACCTACAATATCCTCACTCGAAGGCTTACAGGCTTTGCATGGCTTTAAGAGTGGTAAGGAAGGTGAGGGATGGCAGATCCCCAGTCACAGAGCCAAGGCCATCCAGCACACTGGATGGATGGTGTGTTGTGGGTCGGGGGATCACGGTTGCAAGAAAAACAGTAGTTTGATTTGAATGCACAAATACTTGGTTGGCGATGGTTGGTTGTTTGAAGTGCAAAAAGGAGGAGGCACTATTGCCAGCCAGCCACACAAACTCTCCACGCTGCAGCTCACAGACCGGGATAAAGGCCGAATTTCAACCCTGCCAAGACAATACCTATGGCCCATTCACAGGAACTCCACTCAAGGGTACAGACGGATGGTGCATGGGAGCAGCCTTTTAACAACAAAAACTTGGAGGAGTACAGTAAAGTACCAAATTGATATACTTAGCTGCAGCAAAGCCATGCTACAAGGAGTGCTATGGTCAAAGGGCATTATAAGGTCTTATGCATGTGTGCAGCATTGCACAGTTGCTCATGGTTGCACACGGTTACACAGATTGAGCTGCAACAATGCATGGCTGATTGGGGGTACATGCAAGGCAACACCTATTCAACGGTTTTGGCAATGAGTGCATAGGGAGAAAGGCACACAGTGCATGCACAAAGGGAGCAAGGCAACCAGTACAGCGTATACAGGTTCCATTATCCATAACCTACAGCGTATGCAGATTGGTGAGGCTTGAAAGCCATGAGAGGTCCTCCACTCGCCCAGTGATGTTCCATGCACCAACGTTGCTGAAAGAGGGGAAGCGGGAGGAGGGGAGGAGGGGAGGAGGGGAGGAAGGGGGTAATCAAGGGAGGAATGAAGGAGGGGGGTGATGGGGAGAAATGAGGGGGGTTGTTAAACATTTGGAAAGCAAGGAGACGGATGTTGGTTGGTCATGCTAGTGATCCATGTTTAGGGGCTAGGAACATTAGCTCGGCACATTTAGATAGCATGCCTTTTCTTCACACGCAGTAGTAATGATGACGATACCCGGTGGCAATGATGGCAGCAGTGATGCTAGTGACGATGGCAATGGAAATGAAGACAGGAACACAGAACCCACACTTGATGCATAGCATGAAGTGCACGGCAGCAGGGATATAAGGAGCGGCACGGCAGCAGGGATTTACAGAGAGGGGCAAGGCACTGACAGGTATGTGAGGAGAGAGAGGCGGCTGAGAGTGGATGGTAGGCTGTCAGAAATCGAAGTGGCCGATACGTCTCTGTTTCAGGGATGGATGGAAAGATGGTCGCGGGAGGGCGGAGCAGGAACAGGATTATTGTTTTGGGGCGCACAGGGGAAGACGTTTCAAAGGGCAACCATGCATCCATCATTCCATGATTAGCAACAGTTGGAACTGGAAACGAGCACTAGAGGGGGGATAGGGCCAGCGGTAAGTACAGGTAGGAGAGTGCAGGGAGGGCAGAGAGAGTTAAGGGCAGAGCGCCTGAGATTGACGTATGGGAGAGGTCCCTGGGGTGGAAGATGGGTGGTCGAAAGAGGGTGTGCATTGGAGAGATATCACTTAGGCAGCAAGGAAGATAGAAAAAATACAAGAGACTGCTGGGGTAGATGAGAGCAATACAGCCATTGTGCGGAAAGCCAGGACAGGGGGTTCGGCGTACGGTCGGGGGGAGTTGGAGAGACAGGGAAGTAGGCTTCAATGGCTTCAACATGTTTACTGGACATGAAAGAGCAAGGTCACAGCAAGCCAGTGCACGTGTGCAGGTGTGCAGGTGTGCTGCGCGTTACAGTGGCAGGCGGGCGCAGTGGCATGTGTGGGATGGCAACGCTGACTCACAGCACACGCAGGGAGGAGGGCAGAGAGAGGTGAGTGATGGAGCCGGAAAGCAGATTGTCTGACAGCACACTGAGGGGATGGGATTGGGGAGGGGGGGAGAGGAGCGGATTAAGGCATGTGGAGTGCCAAGTTAGTAGGTCAAACACGTCGTTTTGGATGGTTGGGCTCCTGGTTGCTCGCTGTAACAGATTGATGGCAAGGAAAGGATTGAGGAACAAGGGGGGGACGGGCTGGTTGAAAGTATAACGTTGAAAGAGGGTGATGGTTAAAGAGCAGGCTGGTTGCATCACAAGAAGGTACTCAAGTGAAGCGAGAGGGTGAGCTGAGCGCATCGCAAAAAGTGCAACGTTCACAGATCGTTTTCACCATTCGAGCTCGGGCATAAAGTCGGAAATCGTCCGCCAAGTGTTCGCCAAATGTTTTTTTCTCGTTTCTTTGCACGTAAATGATTCGCGAGTCTTCTGCGGATGGGATGTTATGCGAATGAGTTGTTTTGTGAATGTTACACCTGAATAATAAACATGTTCCCGTGTCTTATATTTGCATAAATGATTGGTTTTTGTACACTTAAACTTCTACAAAGTTTTAAAATTGTGCATAAGTAACTGAAATATAATAATATATAAAATATGTGCAATTTGCCAAAAAAAACTAACTGAATCCAACCCCAACCAACTCAACCCATATCTCACACGCTATTCGAGGTTCGGCGAGACCTGTAACCAGGCTGGGTTACGCATCTCCAATGGGTTGCGAAACCCAGATACCACGTCCTAACCCTATGCACCGTGAGGAAATTGAACAACCCCCTTGGGCATCAAAAGGGGCCATGCGATTGGTCGAAGCCAAACAACAACAATCGCAAACCCAACCCACAGCCTGCTCCCTCGACGGCAAAAACGACTAAGGGAAAGATGGTAGCAGATCTCGAATTCGGGATCTGTAATTTTCTCGACTTGCCCTCGTTTCCTCCTAGATCCATGCTCATGCGTAGCCATGCTAGAGAGTTGGTAGCGACTTATAAGATGGGATCGAGGCGACACCGTTGTCAGGCTAGTGAACGCGGATATCAATTGAGGTTCTTGGCGCGCGTAGCCTAGCCTGGACGAAATCACCAGCGCCTGAAAACAAGGGCAGGAAACAAATGACGAATCCCCCGCTGCTAACGGCCCACCGTTGCGGGCCGCTATAGCTTCCCGCCGCCTTCGATCTCCTCGTACGAAAATGCCACCCGCGGCTTCCCACATCGTGCTATCCCTGTCCTCGCGCTTCCTTGCTTCCCAAATCCCCGCTTCCCGCTTTCGAAAGCACGTCCGCATCTCACCTTCACGTGCTGCAGCATCTCGCTGTCCCTCGCTTCCTTCCACCCGCTTTCACCCGCGTCCCGCTATCGCTTGCTCCCCGAATCCCGCTTTCCCATGCTCCTCGCATTACCTTGCTCCCCGCATTCCAATGCTCCTCGCATTCCCATGCTTCCCTCATTCCCATTTTCCCGGCATTCCCATGTTCCCCGCATTCCCATGTTCCCCGCATTCCCTTGCTCCCCGCATCTCGCTTTCCCATGCTCCCCGCATTCCCTTGCTCCCCGCATCCCGCTTTCCCATGCTCCCCGCATTCCCATGTTCCCTGCATTCCCTGCTCCCCGCATCCTGCTTTCCCATCCTCCCCGCATTCCCATGTTCCCCGCATTCCCTTGCTTGCTCCCCGCATCCCGCTTTCCCATGCTCGCTGCATTCCCTTGCTCCCCGCATTTCCTTGCTCCCCACATCCCGCATTCCCATGCTCCCCGCATTTCCTTGCTCCTTGCATCCCGCATTCCCATGTTCCCCGCATTCCCTTGCTCCCCGCACCCCGCTTTCCCATGCTCCCCGCATTCCCATGTTCCCCGCATTCCTTGCTCCCCGCACCCCGCTTTCCCATCCTCCCCGCATTCCCATGTTCCCCGCATTCCCTTGCTCCCCGCATCCCGCTTTCCCATGCTCTCTGCATTCCCTTGCTCCCCGTATTTCCTTGCTCCCCACATCCCGCATTCCCATGCTTCCCTCATTTCCTTGCTCCTTGCATCCCACATTCCCATGCTCCCCGCATTCCCGTGTTCCCCGCATTCCCTTGCTCCCCGCACCCCGCTTTCCCATCCTCCCCGAATTCCCATGTTCCCCGCATTCCCTTGCTCCCCGCATCCCGCTTTCCCATGCTCTCCGCATTCCCATGCTCCCCGCATTTCCTTGCTCCCCGCATCCCGCATTCCCATGCTCCCCGCATTCCCGTGTTCCCCGCATTCCCTTGCTCCCCGCACCCCGCTTTCCCATCCTCCCCGCATTCCCATGTTCCCCGCATTCCCTTGCTTGCTCCCCGCATCCCGCTTTCCCATGCTCTCTGCATTCCCTTGCTCCCCGCATTTCCTTGCTCCCCACATCCCGCATTCCCATGCTCCCCGCATTTCCTTGCTCCTCGCATCCCGCATTCCCATGCTCCCCACATTCCCGTGTTCCCCGCATTCCCTTGCTCCCCGCATCCCGCTTTCCCATGCTCTCCGCATTCCCTTGCTCCCCGCACCCCGCTTTCCCATCCTCCCCACATTCCCATGTTCCCCGCATTCCCTTGCTTGCTCCCCGCATCCCGCTTTCCCATGCTCTCTGCATTCCCTTGCTCCCCGCATTTCCTTGCTCCCCACATCCCGCATTCCCATGCTCCCCGCATTTCCTTGCTCCTCGCATCCCGCATTCCCATGCTCCCCGCATTCCCGTGTTCCCCGCATTCCCTTGCTCCCCGCACCCCGCTTTCCCATGCTCCCCGCATTCCCATGTTCCCCGCATTCCTTGCTCCCCGCACCCTGCTTTCCCATCCTCCCCGCATACCCATGTTCCCCGCATTCCCTTGCTCCCCGCATCCCGCTTTCCCATGCTCTCCGCATTCCCTTGCTCCCGCTTTCCCATGCTCTCCGCATCCCCTTGCTCTCCGCATCCCCTTGCTCCCCGCATTTCTTTGCTCCCCACATCCCCCATTCCCATGTTCCCCGCATTCCCTTGCTCCCCGCACCATGCTTTCCCATCCTCCCCGCATTCCCTTGCTCCCTGCACCCCGCTTGCCCATGCTCCCCGCATTCCCATGCTCCCCGCATTCCCATGCTCCCCGCATTCTCATGCTCCCCGCATTCCTTGCTCCCCGCATCCCGCTTTCCCTTGTTCCCCGCATTCCCATGCTCACCGCTGTCCCATGCCCCCGCTTTCCCATGCTCCCCTCATTCCATGCTCCCCACATTCCCATGCTCCCCGTGCTCCCCGCATTCACATGCTTCGCGCATTCCCATGCTTCCCACATTCCCTTGCGACCCGCACCCCGCTTGCCCTCGCTAATCCGCTGCTGCCTCTCTCCCCTGTTTCCCGCCACCCGCTTCCCCTAGCTTCCGGCATGCCGCTTTCCCCCGCTTCCTGTTTCTGCCATTCCCCCCTTTTCACATCCCGCTTTCCCCCGGTAGCGACTAGCGCTTCCCGCTTCACCTCGCGGACCGCTTCCCGCTTTCCCTTGCGGGTCGCTTCCCACTTTCCCACGTTGTAACGTGTTACCCGCTTTTTCGCGCGCCGCAATCCCCTGCCTTCTCATTGAATGAAAACAGATAAAGGTTCAAGGCGCAGCAGCAGGGAAGAAAGCGAGGCCGCAGGGATGGGGAAGACAACAGATAGTAGCAAGCGGGAGAGGCGAGAGGGGAGGGAGAGGGGCACGAGAGCAGTGGAGGGGGAAGGCGTGAGAGCAGGGAGGGAGTGAGGCATGAGAGCAAGGAGGGAGTGAGGCACGAGAGCAGGGAGGGAGTGAGGCATGAGAGCAGGGAGAGAGTGAGGCATGAGAGCAGGCGTGAGTGCAGGGGAGGGGGAGAGGCGTAAGAGTAGGGGAGGGGGAGAGATGGGAGAGCATTGAGGTATGAGGTGCGTGATAGGGGGGGATGTGGGAAGGCGCAAGAGCCATGGAGGGAGCGAGAGGTGAGAGAAGGGAAGGGAAAGAGGGGTACGAGTAGGGGAGTGGGGAAAGGGAGAGTGCAGCCTGGAGGAGATGGGGAGGGGAAGAGGCGTGAGGGCGGGGGAGGAAGAGGCGTGAGGGGCATGGGAGGGGAGAGGGTGTTAGGGTAGGGGAGGGGGAGTGGCGTGAGTGCAGGAGAGTGGGGAAAGATGGATTGCAGTGAGGGTAGGGGGGTAGGAGTGAGAGCAGAGGAGTGGGAGAGGCGTGAGGGCGTGAGAGGCAGGGACAGCTGGAGGAGATGGGGAGGGAAAGGAGCATGAGGAGAGGGGAGGCAGATACGCATGAGGGCAGGGGAGAGGGAGATGCATGAGGGCAGGGGAGGGGGAGAGGCATGAGGACAGAGGAGGGGGAGTGGCATGAAGCAGGGGAGGGGGAGAGGGCAGTAAGTGTGAGCGGGATCCCGGCAGGACAGGCAGTAAACACTCTATAACTAACCCCTCTCAACCCCCCGCCCCCCCACTAACGTATGCCTCCATCTCTTTCTCCCCCCCCCCCCCCCCCCCCCTCCCCCCCCTCCCCTCCTCCCCGCTCTCTCGCAGCCTACCGGGTGGCACATGATTGCCAGTCAAGCTCACCTTGGACAACCTCTCCGTTAAAAGCCAGACTTCACCCCAAACCTATCCACTCACTCCCCTGTGCATCTCTCAACAAACCACATTCTGTGGGTGATCTCCGTGCGGCCACGCATTCAGACATTCAGCCGTTATTGGCAAATGCTAACCATGTCTCTTCTCTAGCATCATCTACGACGGCTGCAGAAAATGGAAATTATGTAACCCTACATATGTGAACGACACCTTGTAACTGAGTTGGTCCAGGGTTGTAAAGCCAACTTGAATTTTGAGGTCCCTCAAGTTTGTTACATTCTTCCTGCCACATATATATGCGACCTTTTCAGGTTATGAACGGCTTGTCGGTCGTTCTGTAAGAGTACATGAACTTGGCACCAATTTTGGCAACAAGAGTAGCTTTTTATCTTTAGCATAAAGTCATATTAGTCTAGATACATTCAGAAAGTCAAGTTCCCATGGAAAGCGATTTAATCTACTAAACAAATCCAAGACACACACTGAGATATATCGAAAACGTCTTAGCATATATAGTAACAAGTGTTGGCTACAACACCTCCATCCAACCACCAAGAAGGGCGTAGTCCAACGGAATCGGTGCAAAACACGGCTTTATGAAATTTGTGAATACCAAACTGAACCGAATTGAATCGCAAATTACAGCGTGCTATAGAGCGCGCGGATTTTGGGATCCAAAATTTCAGGTCCTATTTGCTTGATATTCGGGTCTGTAGAAACACGCCCCTATTCACAAAATGACGTGCTGACCAATCACACACCCTTTGCCCCCACCCTTCACCTGCAACCGAACCCAACAAAATTTATTCATCCAACTCAGCCCCTGCACCTCGTCCAACCAATCAAAATCTGCCAAGTGGTTCCAGAGCGGCTAATCCAGCTCAACCACCTGCTCGCCCCAACCACCCAGCCCACCACGCTGCACCCCACATGCCAGCACTCCAGCCCACCACACACTTCTGATCCCTTCCTTACTTGCCCCCTTGTGCCCTCTCATGCCTTCCAGCTAGACGTTACTTACAATAATAGCCCTCGGCAGTTCTATCTGCATCAGTTTCAGCTCCCATTCTCGCCTTCGCGCCCCCTAGTGAGCAGCTCCTTCCTCTCCCACAGGCTTCGATTACCATGGTCGTTCTTAGTGCGCCCTATGCTGAGGATCTCGTTTCACGATGGTCTATCGTTTCAAGCAGCTCGTAGGTGACTAGTCTTGTTCACCCATGTCATTCTTATCTGCATGTTCATGAGCTAATGCGCCATTGGGGGGGCGGGAGAGTAAGGAGGGGCGAGGGGGAGGAGGCGGCACGCAGAAGCGGTATCTTCGGGAGGCGGGGCGCCTGGCGGAGTACCTAGATGCGCGCATGGAGGCGGCCACCAAGTGCGCGGACGCCAGCAGATGCGAGCACGGTGGTGAAACATCTCTTCCCTTGTTTCGCTTCTCGCCACTGTCCTTTTCCTCTCTCCTGTACTCGTTCCGTCTATGCCCGTCTCGATCCCCCTTTCGTGCCCTCTCTCCCTTTTCGCTCGTCCCAGCTGCTCTTTCTCCCCCTCGCCCCTGGAGCTGTGCTTGCCATGTGTGTGCTTGCCACGTGTGTGCTTGGCGCAGCAGCGGTGCGGCGTGACTCGTGCAGAGAGGCATGGCTAGTAGTGTGTGTGGGAAGGTGGAGGGGGCAGAGCGGAATGGAGAGCATCCGCTCTCGTGCACTCCCCTTCTCACGCGCATGCCCCATCCATCCGTCCATCGTGTGTGCGCTGCAGGTTGGGCACAGCAGCAGCAGGCCCGAGGAGCAGTGAAGGGGGCATGCTGGCGCCATGGGTGGTGCGCTGCCAGACGACGTGAGCGCCATGGCGTATGCGCACGACCTGCCACCCAAGGTGCATACATGTGCCTTGCTATATGCATGGCGGTGTGAAGCCATCCCTGGCAGCCCATCCGTGTGCCCTCTGTTCTGCCTGTTGCGTGCCCATGCACCCCCTTTTGGCTCTTGCACGCCACGCCTCTCCATGCGACCTACCACTCTCCTTGCCTTTACTCACCTCTTTCTTTCACATGGCTGCATGGAATCACATGGCTGCATGGCATGGCATGGGCGCATGGCACATGGGTGCATGGCATCACATGGGTGCATGGCATCACATGGGTGCATGGCATCACATGGGGTGCATGGCATCACATGGGTGCATGGCGTGGGTGCATGGCATCAGGTGCATCTGTGGCAGCACCACGAGTCTCTCTCCTCGCGCCATCTCTCCTCCTCCCTCGCCTCCCTGCACCGTTACTTCGACTACAGGTGAACAGTCATGGCCAGGCGGAGAGGGGGGGTCATACAGGTGCCACGGATGGGTTGCTGGAGTAGAGAGGCCCATGAGAGGGCATTCGCAGGCACGTGCGAGTGTGGGGGCAGTGGGAAGGGCCTGCTGCATGACAGGGCAAGGAAGTGTGGGGGAGAGTGTGGCGTTCGCACGTTGATACGTGTGATCGTGTGAGTGTGCTGTGCACGCGTGGCCCTCATGGTGAGGCAGCCACGAGGAGTGCAGCCACCACGAGGAGTGCAGCCGCCACAAGGAGTGCAGCCTCCATTCTGTTCTTCCATGTCTTGTGCGCTCTTCCCCGACTCTTGCGCACACCGTCACTCCACCCTCCCGCTTCCGCCCCCTGCCACCCCCTCCTCTCTCCAAGCAGTGCGGGCGTGACAGCGGTGGGTAGTCGCCCGGCGTCGGAGTGGTGTGCGGGGCGATTCCAGGTGGGGCTGCTGGTGGAGGGTGCCATGCACGCACGATACGGGCACACACAGCACGCCATGGGGGTATGAAGGCATTTGTTACTTGACGTATCAATCAAACTAATGATTCGCATGTGTCCTCACGATGCTTGTCTTTATCGCAGCTAGCTATGTAACTCTGTCCAACATCGAGATAATTCCCCATGTAAGTCCAATTGTAAGTCTCGCTGGTCATTTGATCGTCGGACTAATTTCACAACAATGTCTCGTATGACGTGCAGAAATTTGTAGCCTACCACGTGCTATTTCCTCCGGTAAGTTGGCTCTTGTAATTGCTGTCGTATGGAATATAACTAATTTGATTACAATGTTTGAACCTAATGTGCACGACTCAATATCCAGCGTCGCGCTACTTCGTTGTTGTAAGCATTGTCCTTATTGTTGGTGATTTCGACCTTGGATTAATTTCGAGATAACAAGTTCTGAACGTAACGTGCAGGAATTCCAATCCAGTTTCAAGAATTGCTGCTCCTGGTGTGCCGCCGCTCAGTTTCTCTTTTGTTAGTGCGGGACCCACATAGGGGTGCTGGTAGGCAAGGGCGGTTGGGCCATAGTGGTTGTGTACTGTAGTGTAGATGTTTTTTTTTTAATATATCAAATAATTTGCTTGTTGCATTTTAAGTAAATCCAAACGAGGCATGCCCTAATTGTACTGAACCATGCCCAAAAGGGTACTGCAGCCTGCAAAACGGATCCATGAAAAACACCGCCAAACGTTTGCAACAAATCATGCTGAATACTAAAAATGGTGAGCATAAACTTCTCTATGCATTTACATGTTTACTGCAAAAGTTGTAGAAAGAACGCCGCCATGCATTTGTAAACGAACCACGGAGATTACCGAAAAGACACCTCTAAGCTTTCGCTGTCGTGAACCAAAAAGTGTTTCGGGAAATGTTGTCAAAGCATTCGCCAAGTGTTCTAATCTAAGTCCGCCATGAATTTTCACCCACATGTTCGCAAAACGTTTGCAAAGCATTTGCGCGAATGCTACGCAATCGTTTTGCGAGCATACATTTTTTGCGATGCGAGCCGAAGAGATCAAAGAGAAGGGCACTGGGGAATGCAGGGGATGAGGTGAGAGGAATAATCAGAGGAGCAGAGCAACGGGCAGGGAAGGAGGGATGCAGAGAAGAGGAGACGTGGACTTACAGGCGTCTGAGTTGTGGCATGCGAGAGAAGATAGTGAGCGGCATGGTTGCATTGACAGCACCTAACGACAGGTCACTGTTGGAGGAGGGGTTGGGGGTGGGGGGGGCGGGGGGCATGTGTGTGCACACCCATCCACGGGCTTACATTGAATATGCACACGGGCGCATGTTGAATGGAATACACACGCAGGTTCACAATAAATACGCATACCGAAGAGATACAAAGCAATACAATAAAGGCCAAAACAGTACAAGACGCCCCTCCCCTCCTCCTCCCCCCTTCCCTCCCCCCAGAATCGCTTGAGAACTTTTGGTGGCGGTTAAACTTGGGAACGCGATATAAAACGTGTTCCTAGACCCGAAATTTAAAACCCTTAAGCGGCGTACATGGATACGATGAAGCCTTGCCGGGTACATTGAATGTAGTCCCATTGATCGCAGCGGCGTGAGCGGTTGGAGTTGGTGGGCCAGAGGTGCCAGGCGGCGTTGAGGTCCAGCAGCGCACACACTGGCAGCACGCAGCACGCTCTCCCTCGCACTCACACGGCCAGGCAAGGCCAGCACACACAGCAAGGCCAGCACACACGGTGAGGCCACCACAGAGAAAAAGTGGGCGGGAATTGGAAAAGGGGAAAAGTGGGCGAAATGGGGGAATGGGGGAAAGTGTCGAAATTGCGGGGAAACACAGGCGAAACTGAAAAACGGGGTGCGTGGGGAAAGGGGAAAAAGTGCGCGAATAAGGGACTGGAAATGGGCGAAGGACCAGGGAGGGGGGCGCTAATGGGAAAAGTGGGCGAATGAGGGCGAAACGAGAAAAAGAAGAAGAAGAAGAAAAAAACGGGAAAAAATAGTTGTTCCTAGCTGAGAGAAGGGTGTGACTTCGTGGCATTGCATGGCTTGATACGCGACGCAAGCATGGGATGTGAGTGGGGAGACTGTCCGTGGGCGTGCCCGAGAGAGTGGGAGAAGAAAGGGGTCATTATGGCGAGAGAGGGAAACGACGGAAGGCGGCGGCGAGGCGGGCGTACGCTGCGAGCCATCGAGGATGGGCCCGGCGGCCGGTGGGCGCGAAGGAGCGGCCTCGAGGAGACTCGTGCGACGCTGAGTCGGACTGGGGATGTCGAGCGACGCTCGCGGACCCGTGCGACTCTCCATGATGCGAGATGCGCGACGCGTCTGGTGGCGTCCAATCTGTCGCTCTTCCGACGGCGAGCGACGAAACCACTAGCAGTCCTGCCAGCAGGGCGAGGAGGGCGGGCGGGAGCGGACGGCGGACGGCGAAAACGAGGCGGCGCGGCGGCGGGCTGCGGCATGATGGAATGAGAGCGGCGAGACGCCGGATGGATACGAGGAGGATGGACGGGATCTGCTGAGCTTGTTCGAGAAAGCTCCAGATCTAGTATGGCGCTGAAGCGGGCTGACCGGTAGTAGTAGCTGCTGGCACGAGAATGGCATCAGGGCCTCTCTCCGGGAGTGTGGTGATGTCTGAGTAATGCCTGGGGAGGGTCCGCCGTCTGGCTGGAGGAACCAAACCAGCCAGACATGTCGTCGCCCGAAAGCGGTGGCATGGTGGGGGAAGGACGTCCATCTGACTCCGTTGTTCCGGACGGACCGAGCGCCAGTTTGCGCGCAAGTGCGCACCTGCACTGGAGCATAATTTATGCCCAAAAATCGCAGCAAGAGCTCAAATTCTCGACGCTTGGGTTCTTTCACCAGATACAGTACATACAGTTCCAACAACTGACATACAGTATCACGGAACGAAATGTGTCTTTCTGAAACGTTTGGAAAACAGCAGCACCGAACACCGTGTCAAGATACTGCCTCTGTACCACAATCAGGGTTTACGCGATTTGGGCAGGATAGCTATACGAACGACACACCTTCTCGCAACAGTTGAGCAGTAGGTTCCTGAAATCACCATCCAAACAGTCTTTTGTTACGAAAACCTACCAGAAATACCAGCTTCGCTCAGGGAGAGCATTTTGTGCAGAATCAGCGGAAAGCTCCATGCAAAATCCAGGTGGACTCCGTCGTTTGTGATTACTTCCCTATTGTTTAGAAACTACTAAACTAGATTACAACTCCAACAATGAGATGGCTTTTGTTGCCCAAGAATTCAGGCTATCGTGCTTTATTCAACCACACACATTTGAATTGCCTACTACATGATGACCTTCGATTGCATTCTCACCACATTAATACAGGGATCAATGTGAGAGCATGTTCTCGCGGCCTCTTCCCAGACTCGCGAGATACAGTGTCGCGTAATTTTGACGCGAAACAGTTTAATGTGGTTCCTTGTGGTGTGACGCGAGATTGGGATTGACGAGATTCAAGGCGTGTTTTCAAATCTTATTTCATGCGCCAAAATTTCAGACGCGCGCAAATCTGTACAGTGCGATTTTGACGAGAGCTGATTCATTGCGGTGAAGAATGCGATTGTAAAACGAATTAGCTGGGAATACAATTCTTCGAACACGCTCTCAGGCGAGAGCCGATTTGCTCAGAGGCTGGTAAGAACACGCTCTGAGCAGTCCTAAGTTTGTTGTTGCCGTGATTTCTTCCAGGGACCTGCAACAGCCCTGCTCGTGAGCAAGATTAAATGTGCAAGGAAATGGTATTTCCTTATCACATGTTTTAGTCAGTAAGACGTACACTGCTATGACGGGGTTGCCGCGCAGCTCTGCCACGAAATTCAAATCGCGTTTCCCAAATGTGGCCTTCTGACGAGCCGCATGCATTGTTGCCCGCCTTGCTGTTGCATGCCTAGATCTGAACGCTTCGCGCCAATTCACGAACCACACGTCGCAGCTCTGCCGCGCCACGACCGTGTGCTCTAAGCTAGCTATATCCAAATTCCCTTCTGTTTTGATGTTGCCTTACTTGCATTGTTTCTCGTTACTCAATCCTTCGACACACGCTCTTTGTGCTTCATTACACTTGGCCATCAAAGCCAATGATCCTCAACCGTGCGCTCTAGTTCCGCTGCAATACCAACACTTAGGGAGGCTGACGCCGTGTGCTTACTACATATCCGCTCTCCTAGTAATATTCACTGATAATGACCTACAGCCACGACTGTGTTTTCAGTGCGAGCGTGCCGAAAGATGCCCCAAACTTCTGCAAAATGGTGGATCAGTCGGCGTCTACTGCCATGACTTCTGAAGAAATGGCGGCAGCGCTTGAAGAAGTATGACTTACTCACGAGTTGTACCAGCAGAAATTGGTGCGTCTGCGAGCTGAAACGACCGAAGCTGAATCCGTGATATCTGCACTTCGGAGCCGACTACCTCAGACACAACACGACACGATCGCACCAACGACAAATCAAAGACAGCAAGAGCAAATAACCAATCAGCGTTCCGAAATACCTGGCGACAATCAGCGACCACATGCGGCTTCGTCCGAAGGTTCGACGAACAACCCGCAACCGGCTATTGGACGAGTAGAAATCGGCGAAAGTGCGAACATGAATCTGCCGCCTCCTATTACCTCTCCAACCGGCCTGCAAACTGCCAACATCAACATGGTGCCGGGAATTCTCAAGACGCATAGGCCACATACGTTCGACCCGGACAGCGCGGTAAGTGGTGGGGATTGTGAAACCCAGCGGCCATGACAGCTTGGACAGCAGGGACAAGGGGGGTGCAGACGGCGATGTGGAGGTATCCGCTCTGCAGCTCACCACCGATCATAAGCCCGCCCATCCAGGTCAGCGCGTTGGAAGCCATGGCGCATGCACGTTCACATGCACATACACCCAGGTCACCACCACCCAAATGCACCCACCCCTCCCTCCCTTCCCCTCTCCCTTTCGTTCCCCCCTTCAACCATCTCTCGTTCCCCCTTCAACCATCTCTCATTCCCTCTCCCCCAGCCTATGTGCCTCCTCCCCCGACCCCCTTCCCCTGCCAACTCCCGCACCACAATCCAGCATCACCATGTCCCGCTGCCTTGACACACGGAGGGATTGAAATCTGATTGGCCACTCCTGTTGCTCACAACCTGCCTTCCTTTCCCTTCCCTCCTTCTCCCCTCCCCTTCTCCCCTCCCCTTCTCCCCTCTCCTTCTCCCCTCCCCCTTTTCCTCTCTCTTCCCCCCTACCAAACATCCAGAGGAGCGGTTTCGCATCGTGGTGTCGGGAGGCCGGGTGCACCCGATCCCAGCGGACCTTGAGGGAGTGGAGTGTGCCTGGCTGCTGCACGAGGAGGCGCCCGACATCGCCATGTCAAGCTGCCTGGGCTCCACGCTCATGCGCACGTACGGGGTCACTGCCGACCCGGACGTGCGGTTTCTAAGGCTGGGGTGGCGGCACCGCTTCATGGTGCTGGCCACTGATGGGGTAAGTGGTGGGTTCGTCCCCTCATCGCCATGTCGCACTGCCTGGGATCTGCGCTCATGAACGCATATGGGGCATCAGTTTAACCAGACGTGCGGTTTCTGAGGCTCGCGGCGGCAGCACCGCTTCATGGTGCTGGCCACTAATGGTTGAGGCTACGGGGGGGTCTCTGCGGTAATGTGCGGTCTTTTAGGGTGGGGCAGCAGCACTGCTTCATAGATGGGGTGAGAGTTGCTGTTGCTTTCCTTTGCTGCTTGGGTGCTCCTGGGCCTTCTGGTCGTTGGCTGTAACCAATAGCCTTTGGTTTCTTTCTCCCCTTTCCCCCACCCTCCCTCTCCCAGGTAAGGGATGTGCTATCCAATGAAGCCGTGGTGACTTGAGAGGAACCTTGTAACAACTTCCTCATCGGCTCCCCCTCCCTCCCCATTCCCCCTCCCTCACCATTCCGCCTCCCTCCCCATTCAACATCGCTCCCCATTCCGCATCGCTCCCCATTCCGCATCCCTCCCCATCTCCCCCTCATCTCCCCATTCCGCATCCCTCCCCA